AATGTGGGTGCAGGGCCTGCCGGGGCTCTGGGGGGCGGGGTAGGACACCCAGAGGGGCAGCCTCCAGCTGGCTCTGCCAGAGGGGGAGGACCTGCAGGAGCAGGCGGGACAGGAGGGTCTGGCGGCCTTTCTTCCAGCGGGGCCCAGCTGGAGCAGGAGAGGGGACCAGCGGTACTCCAGGGCACACCGAGGGAGCAACTGGCGAGGGGTGAGTCGGGCCCATCCGCGTCCCTTTGGCTTCTGCTCCAGGTCCGAGACAGCGACCCCAGTGACCCCAAAAGAGAAACCATCGTCCAGCTTATTGACGACTTCAGGATCTCAGGTGTGAATGGAGTCCGTATCCTTTGCAGGATGAGAACACAGGTGGCAACAAAGGGGACAGCCGACGCCTCCCTAGCCACTAGAACCTCTGTTTGCTGGTCTGCACAATGGGGTTTTCTCCCTCCCAGGGACACTAGTCTATGAAATAGCCCCACTCCTTTGAGTAATTGTGTTTGCACGTGGGGGGCAACCAGGTTGAGTCATCTGTGGATGACCGCAGAATGCACCATCTCAACCGGCATACCTCTGGGTGACAGGGACGCTATAAATAATGACACCAGGATGGGTGACCACCAGGGCCGCCCGAGCCTCGCCGCTCGCCCCCGCAGAGGGTGGGCGGGGCCTCGCCCCAGCTGTGTCCGCTGGCCGGCCTTCACTCCCAGCCCCAGACGTGTGCATGGTGCTGGAGGTCCTGGGCCACCAGCTCCTCAAGTGGATCATCAAGTCGAACTACCAGGGCCTGCCCGTGCCCTGCGTGAAGAGCATCGTGAGGCAAGTGAGTACTGCCCGCGGGGCCGCCCAGCCCTGCCAGGACGGGGACTGGTGGGGCTCAGGTGTGCTCTCCCCAGGTGCTGTATGGCCTGGATTACCTCCACACCAAGTGCAAGATCATCCACACGGACATCAAGCCCGAGAACATCCTGCTGTGTGTGGGGGACGCCTACGTCAGGCGCCTGGCCGCCGAGGCCACGGAGTGGCAACAGTCAGGGGCCCCACCGCCGTCCCGCTCCACAGGTACCAGGAGGCCGCGCAGGGCCGGGGGCACTGGGCCTCAACCCCTGCCTGAGTCTCCGTTCCTCTCTCCTCTGCCCTCACCCGCACCCCAGTCAGCACTGCCCCCCAGGAAGCCTTGGTAAGTTGGGGCGCCCCTCACTTCCTGTGCCTCCTCTCCCCACCCGGGCTCACCGGAGGCCATCTCCTCAGAGCGCGCCCCCGCAGCCACACTGGCTCCACCCGCCACCCTGCCGCGCACTCCCGCGGCGGCACTCCCAAAAGGCTGGGTGACCTAGGGGAGGGCGACACACAGGGTGGGCCCCAAACTGTCGCCACCGCCTCAGTGGAAGGATGCTGTGCCTTCCCCTGACAGTCCCTTCAGGTTGCTTTAGCTGGGGCTGGGAGGCGAGGAGCTGGTGCCAAGGGGTGGCAGTGCCATGTGCTGGTGGCCATGGGAGCCCTGGGTCTGGGGCCGCGTCCCTCGTGGGGCGTGCAGGGAAACCTGCCCTGCCAAGCTGACCGGGACAGGCGACAGGGGCCCTGGGGTGACCCTGGCTCTGATGACAGACCGGTAAGCTGTCCAAAAACAAGAGGAAGAGGATGAGGCGCAAACGGAAGCAGCAGAAGCGGCTGCTGGAAGAGCGGCTGCGGGACCTGCAGAGGCTGGAGGCCATGGAGGCCGCGGCCCAGGCAGAGGGTGAGGCCCGCGGGGGCACCAGGCTGGGGGGTGCCGGCCACAGGGGTGTCTGCTCACACGCTGCCCCCACGCCGTCTCCCCAGACTACGGCTCCAGACTAGAGGGGGGCAGTGGCTCTACCTCGTCTTCAGGCTGCCACCCCGGGGGGGCCAGGACAGGCCCCTCGCCAGCCTCCTCCTCCCCTGCCCCAGGGGGCGACCGCAGCCTCAGCCCCGGCTCGCAGACCTCAGGCTTCTCGGGCTCGCTTTTCTCTCCCGCCTCGAGCTCCATCCTCTCAAGCTCGTCCAACCAGCGCGAGACCGGGGGCCTCCTATCACCCAGCAGTAAGTCGGCTGGCGGGCGGCGGCGGGCAGGGCCGGGAGGCGTCAGACGGGCTCAATGTCCCCTTCTCTTCCTTCCCCAGCACCATTTGGTGCCTCGACCCTCCTGGTGAACCCCCTGGAGCCCCAAAACGCAGACAAGATCAAGATCAAGATTGCAGACCTGGGCAACGCCTGCTGGGTGGTAGGAGCGAGCCTCGGCGAGCAGAGCTGGGGGCCCTGGTCTGAGGGTGGCAGCCCCGGGCCCGCGGTGCACACGACCCGCGGGCTCTGCCAGGGGCTCGTTCAGCTACCCACGCCACCGAGCCAAGGTCTGCTTTGCCGGCAGGCTCGAACCAGCACCCCTCCTGCCCAGGTGGCAGACCCGAGGCCCCAGCCAGGGGCAGGACCGCCAGGACGAGGCGGGCCTCAGCTTCTGGCCGCCCACAGTCCCTCCCGGGGCGCATGGGTCAGAGGTGGGCGTGGGGTCAGTGGGGCGGGCCAGCCTCGGCTGGCTCCTGTCCCCAGGGCTGCCCTTGCCTCCAGCACAAGCACTTCACGGAGGACATTCAGACGCGGCAGTACCGCGCCGTGGAGGTACTGATCGGCGCCGAGTATGGCCCCCCGGCAGACATCTGGAGCACGGCGTGCATGGTATGCCCCGGGCCACCCCATGCAGGGCCCACCCACGCCAGGGCCCCCAGCAGCCTCACCTTCTCCCCTTCCAGGCCTTCGAGCTGGCCACCGGCGACTACCTGTTCGAGCCTCACTCTGGAGAAAACTACAGCCGCGACGAGGGTAGGGGCAGGCCCTGGGCAACCTGGGCCTCGCAGGCCCCTGCCCGCCTCCCAACCCCCTCTCGCCCACAGACCACATCGCTCACATCGTGGAGCTCCTGGGAGACATACCCCCGGCCTTCGCCCTCTCGGGCCGCTACTCCCGGGAGTTCTTCAACCGGAGAGGTAGGGCCCGACGGCTCAGGCCATCTGGCTGAGGGGCGGGTGGGACAGGGACCCTGGGGCCTGAAACAGAGGGAACAGGGCTCCCAGACACCTGAGGCCCTCCTGGCAGAGCCTGCATGCCCGACTAGCCTGGGGGTGGAGCCTAAGCGCCAAGCAGTCCTACGGACAGAGCCCCCCACCCCCACCCCAGGCGAGCTGCGGCATATCCACAACCTCAAGCACTGGGGCCTGTACGAAGTGCTCATGGAAAAGTACGAGTGGCCCCTGGAACAGGCCACACAGTTCAGCGCCTTCCTTGTTGCCCATGATGGAGTACATCCCCGAGAAGCGGGCCAGCGCCGCCGACTGCCTCCGGCACCCCTGGCTCAACCCCTAGGCCCCAGGACAGCTCGGCAGCTGGGGCCGGCCGGGCTCTGCCTCCCAGCTCAGTGCCTTGAGGGAATGTGGGTCAAGTCCCGCCACCCTGCTGGAGCTGGCTCCCCCGCCTGCCAGGTGCCAGCCCCCGCGGCAGGGCCAGGCCCATGTTTCTGAATGTGACCCGCCCCGCCCTACCCTGCCCCTTCTGGAGGCCCTGAGCGGGCACGTGTGTGTTTTTTTCTTAATAAAGTGTGAACTGAAACCCCAGCGTTCTGGGGCGAGGGAAGCACAAGGCCGGGGTCCAGGGCAGAAGCTGGTTTATTCTGGGGTCTGCTACTGAGCCGGCTGGGGTGCTGGAGTGAGAAGGGGATCGGGGGAGCAGGCCAAATGGCCCCAGGGACAGCCTAGGCCTCCACGGCCCGGCCATTGATGATACGGATGTGGCGGATGATGTCCTGGATGGCTTCGGATGTGGTGCCCTGGCCCCCGATGTCTGGGGTGTGCATCTGTAGGAGATGGGCGTGCTTGGGCACTCGCCAGGCCCCGCCAGTCCCCGCCCCACAGGCGGCCCACTGGGACTGCCGGCAGGAGGGCGGTGGTACCAGCTGAGCCCAGAAGCCCTCCCCTACCTGGTACCAAGCCCCCCAGGGGTCTCTGTCTCCAGTCTTCCAGGCCTTTCCCGCCCCCATGACACCAACTAGAGGAAGGAGGCCGTGGGGGTGGGGAGCAAGAGGAGCCTCACATTTTCGTTGTCCATGGACGCCAAGACGGCCTTGCGGATGGAGGTGGCGTAGGAATGCAGCCTGTGAGGGGAAGCCAGTCTGGGTCCTCAGACCTGGAGGGCTGGCCAGGGGCTCACGCGGGTGGCGGGAAGTCACTTACTTGAGGTGGTCGAGCATCATGCAACTCGCCAGCAGCGTGGCCGTGGGGTTGGCAATGTTCTTGTTGGCGATACTCTTGCCCGTGTTCCTTGTGGCCTGGAAACGACAGGATGGAGGAGTAGGTGGGAGTGTGGGAATGCAGGGCAGATGACTCTGCCTGTGTAACATAGCCAGCAGAGGCCGGCTCACAGACAGAGCCCCTGAGAGGGTGCCAGGGCTGGAGGAGAGGGATGGGGAGAGATTGCTCAAAGGCATGGGCTTTTGCGTTGGGGTGACAGAATGCTCTGGAACGAGATGGCAACAGCCGCACACCTCTACGTACACTAAAAGCCACTGAACACTTTGAACGGACACACCGTAGGCGTGTGAGAGGGGCACTCACCGTCTCAAACACTGCATACACGTGGCCGTAGTTGGCACCCGCCACGAGGCCTGGGCCCCCGACCAGCCCTGCGCAAACGTTGTTGACGATGTTGCCGTAGAGATTGGGCATCACCATGACATCGAACTGCTGGGGCCGGGACACCAGCTGCGGGGCAGGGAGGTGGCTGACGGGCAGACTCGGGAGCATGGGTACAAGAAGCCCAGGGCACCCAGAGCAGGGACAGCAGCGGGCTGGCTAATACCTGCATGGTGGTGTTGTCCACAATCATGTTCTCGAAGGTGATCTGGGGGTAACGGGCTGCCACCTCCCTGCAGCACTGGAGGAAGAGCCCGTCACCCAGTTTCCTGGCAGGAGGAAACAGGACACCAGCTTGGCCCAACCCAACAGCCAGCCAGAGGGACAGGACGTGTGAAGGGCCACAGAAGGCTGGCGTCTGATTTTTAAACCTGCCCCTCATCTGCTAAACAGGCATAATCCCACCCGGCCCCCACTAAGCAGGACCGAGGCAAGGCCTCAGGGACAACAGGCACATGCCTGGGCATGGCCCCTGGGTGGGTAGCGGGCTCTTGGACCCCCAGTGCCTGAGAGCAGGCCTCAGCAGGCCCCTGCAGCTGCTTTGAGGCTGTCGCTGAAGGGCAGGAGGATGGGGACGCACATGATGTTGGCCTTGTGCACAGCTGTCACTTTCTTGCGCCCGGTCTCCTGGGCCAGCTTGAAGGCATACTCGGCGATGCGCAGGGACTTGGCCTTGGTGATGATCTTCAGGCTCTCCACCACTCCTGCCACACTCTGAAGGGGGGGGAGGAGAGACCTGGGTCCTGTTGCCGAGCCAAGCTGACCAGGCGGGCTGGCGCCACGGGGGTATGGCGGGAAGCGGCCCCCCCCCCGCCCTGCGAGCAGGCCCGCTCCTGGCTCCTTCCGGGTCCGCTCAACGCTGGCCTAGCCGGGCTCACCCCAGGCCTCGCCCACCTCGTGCTCCAGGCTGCTGTACTCGCCCTCTGTGTTCTCCCGGACGATGAGGATGTCTATGTCCTTGTGCCGGGTCACCACGCCTGGCAGGCTCTTGCAGTGGATGACGTTGGCGTACAGGTCCAGGCTGGTGCTGGGGCGGGCAGAGAGAGAAGCAGGCTCGGCCTGGCTGGCAGCTGACCAGGGCCAGGTTTGCTGCTGGCAAACCCCAGCCCGGCCCTGCCGAGCCACCGCCCGTGCCCGCAGCTCTCACCGAAGGATGTTGTTTCGGGATTTGTGGGATGGCGGCAGGTTATGGTTTGTTTCGATGTTGCCTACAGAACACAGACAAGACAGGCAGGCTGGAGAGGGCCCCCAGACTCAGCTGCCTGCCCGCTCCCATTCCTGACCCAGGGAGCATGTGCCAAAGGCTGCCAGGATCAGAGGCGATGACTCTGGGCAGCAAAAACACTTCATGGAACACAACATCTGGTGCCACCCACGAAGGCTGAGGGAGGGTATGCTGACACTGGTGGTTCCAAGAAAGGCACTCAGAGGACAGTCACCGGGTGAGCAAATGAGCACACACATGAGCGGATAAGGCTGGCTCGCGAGAAAGGGGCCACTCCTGACGACTACAGGTTGCCCGGCCAGGCTGGTGCCAGCAAGGTGACCTTGGCAGGGGCCACGGCCAGGCCCCACATCAAGGTGCCACACAACCCCCAGCTCAAGGACAGGTAGGTGCGGCCTGGGAAAGGTCACGCAGCAGTTGGGCCTGGTCTGTGACCGGGGGCACGCAGAGGAAAGGAAACAGGGGCCAGTGAGGCCAGGGGCCAGGAGCTGCTGGGAGAAGGTGGTCAGAGGGTGCCAAGCAGAGAGGCCTTTCTCTGCCTGCCAGGGCCGCCTGCACGCAGAGGGTCCGGGGCACCCTGTGGTCAGCACGCAGGCCCATCCATTCGACTGCCAGGCCTGGGGCTCTAGCTGGGTTCACCTTGCTCACACGCCCCCTCATCCAGAGCAATGATGAGTCAATGACAACGGGTCAGAGTCTGCAGCGCGAGAGATGGAGACAGTTGAGGACCTGAGCCAAACCAAAGCACGCCCAGGAGGGGCTACCAGAACCCCCATGGTGCCAACCGGTGCCCGGGTGGCAGGCAGAGGTCCAAAACGACATCTCCGTGACATCTGGTTGATGAAGAAAGACTCTGAGGGTCAAAGTTGACCCCAGCAGAGAGGGTTGCCTCAGGAGGGAAAGAGGAGTGGGAGGAAGGGAGCCTGTCGCTGGCCAGGCTCACACACAGCTATTTCCACAGACATCTCAACATGGGGGTGCAAGGAATCCATGGAAACTTCCACCTGGTCTCCAAGCAGAAGGGTCCTCTCTGGCCAGAAAAGTCCTGTGGTCAGAGCCCTGGGGCCCCTCGAGGACCAGCCTGGAGGCCAAGGAACCACGAATAGCGCCCCAGCCTGGCCCCTGGCCCTGAGCTCACCCTTCAAGGCCACGCGGTTCCGGCGGATGGCCATGATGGCGTTGCGGATGTCCTCTTCATCAGCGTTGGAACTCACGTGCACCTCCTCAAAGTCCACCGGCACACATGCGTGCCTGGGGCAGAGCAGGATCAGAGAGGCTGGCCCAGGGCCTCCCACACCTCCTCCAGGAAGCCTGCCCAGGCTGCTGGGTCCAGAGGCCCCTTCCCTGTTGCTGCCTGCCCTGATCTGGCCCTGGCTGAGAGGGGACTGCGCCCATGTGTGCCAGCTAATGAGAACACGCTTGAGTTCCACAGTGTACACTGTTAGCGGGACTGGTGCCTCCTTCCCATGCCCAGGTCAGCCTGGAGAGATCACAGGCCCTAGGATGCAAGGCCTGGGCTCACAGGTCCTCATTGGCTGCCACTGGGCTCACTGTCCCTCTTGGCACGAAGTCCTCAGGGCTCCCGGCTGGGGGCAGGGGAGCCCAACCCTCCTAGGAGACAAGACTCTGTACCTGAACACAGACTTGACATGCAACATGAGCTCCGGCCCGATGCCGTCCCCTGGGATCATGGTCACCGTGTGCCGCCCACCGTACTTGGCCGACGGAGGCTGGAAGGAGCGGTGCAGATGGGCCTTGGGGTACCAACACAGGCTCCCTGGCTCAGCGCCCAGGGGCTCGAGCCAGCGCCCTCCTTCCCATCACGGACCCTGCAGACCAGCCGATCACCAGGTGCCAACCTGGGGCACCCTAGCCCACAGAGGGCTATACCTCCGGGGCTCCCTAGTCAGCAGCAGCCCCCACTCCCACCTGGAAGCCGGTCAGCCCCAAAGCAACTAAGAGCTCCCAAATCTCACGGGCAGAGAAGAAGAATACTCACGATTGTCTGTTGCTAGAGGAGAAACAGAAAGGAAGACACAATCAGCCCAGGTCCGAGAACAAGGCTGTGCCCAGCCAGCTGGGCCTCTCACCCAGGGACGCTGCCCAGCACAACCCACAGAACAGGGGGTGGGTGGCCTCTGGGGACCACGTCTCAGAGGCAATGACACGGAGGGCCTCAGGGAGCAAAGAGACACGGGCATGTGCACACACACACGTACACACTGACACACATACACATGCACACACAGCGCAAATGTGCACTTGCGCGCACACATATACACACATGCAAGTGCAGATACATGCATGCACTTATGCGCATACAGACATGCGCTCAGAGATGTGCGCACATGCAAGTGACGTGCAAACGCGCATACATACATGTGTAGACGTGCTCACTCACAGAGAAGTGTGCACGTGCGAGTGCATGCACAAATACTTGCACACCAACTCACGTGGTTACATACACACACGTGCAGGTGGACGGTCACGCACAGACGTACACACGCACAGGCAGGCTTACCGAGGAGATGCCTCTCCGGGGGCCCTCATGGGCACCTAGGACCTGGCAAAGAGAACCGAAGGGCCAGCGTTTATTGTCCAGCCCAGAAAGCCAAGCAGGCAAGGGAGGAGGGATTAGCCCACTGTGCACAGACAGGCCCCCACCGGAGCACCGCCATCCACACACAGAAGCACATGGTGCGCCCTCAACACGCGGCTCCCCCTGCTTTCCCAGGCCCAGCGCCGAAGCCCCACAGAAGGTGCCTGCCCCTCCTATCTCCTTCAGCTCTCTGGCCAGTTATCTTAAAATGCGGGTGTCCTTGCCCCTCGTTTCTGCTTCTGACTCTTTTTTGGCCCATTCATCCTGCTCAGTGACATGAGTAATATGGAAAAACTGGAGAACGCATCCCGGCACGATAGGGAAATCGCCATCACAGCCAAGTGCGGTCCATGACAACGGCACGGTCACGGCTTCATCCAGCATCTCTCCTTATCAGAAGGTCAGCACGCGGCCACCACAGAAAAGCAGGCGGAGAGAAGAAAAGACTGTGCCAGCCTGCCAGCCTCCCTCAGGCGGCACTGTCAGCCCTGGAGTACAGTGCTTCGGGGTGTAGGGAAACCAGCCATTTCTGAAGATTGGTAACACACTAAGCTCTAGGAAGGCGGTGGTGGCCTAGCTGGATGATGAATGTCCCCAACCTCTTGCAGGGAAGAGCCTGCCAGCTTCAGAGCAAAAACTGCCTGAGCCAGACGGACCAGGTGCTGAGAAGCGGTCCTCTGTCCCGAGGAAGAAGCCGGCATTCCAGGTCCCACTGAGGACCAGCACGGACCCTGGCTCCAAAACTGCACCTCCCTCACAATGGCAATATCACGACCAGGTGATCCTTTCTCACACCTGGTCCCAATGCCAGACGTTCCTTTGGGCTTTGGCCAAAGACCCCAGAGTGTTCTCCAGATAGAGACTTCCCTACCCTTCCTGTTTGGATGCAGGCACATTCCTTCAAGGATCACGAGGGTCTTGCCTAGCACCCAGGTCTCCCATGAAGCTGCCAACCCAAGGAGCCCGGGATGAGGTGGGATGTGACGTGTACATGCCCCCCGCTCTTCCATCACCCTTTGGCAGTTCCACCGCCAGAACGGGGTCCAGGGTGACATGCACCCTGGGCGGAAGGGCTCCACACTCCACATCTTAAGCCTGCTGAGGCTTCTCTCTCTGGCACATTTCGGTTGGATCAAGTGGCTGCATGCTTTCCCGGAGGTCCCAATCCACGAGGCATAAAATCTGTGGGTTCTCTCCAAAGGTCCTCATACACAGGACAACTGGTCTCAGGGCAAGGAACTGCCCAGCTACCAACTGTTTGCTGCCCCACCACCACCACTGCCACCCCAACCCACACACACGGGAAGTCAGGGAGGAGACAACTAACTCCACTAAGAGCCTACAAGAGCGGAATTGCTGGAGCCATCAGGGCCTCTGGAAAGCCTCCATATGCGGCTGTCCTTTCATCAGCAAGGTGGGAGGAGTTCCCGGTTTAAAGTAAATTGCATTAGGCATAAGCCGGCTCCCACAGAGGTCAGAAGGGGGAAGCATAACAAGCAGAGGTGTCCATGCAGAGTGTCAGCAAAGTCCCGGAGTTCTGGAAGGTCAGAGTTAGCAGGATCCTTTGAGAACCTGAACTGCCCTCCCCTCACTGGTCACAGGGGAAACTGAAACCCACAGAGAGGAGGGGACTGGCCTAAGGCCACGCAGCGGGTCAGTGGGGGAGCGAGGCCTGGAGGTTAATACCTCTTATTCCCCAGGGCTGGTGCTGGCTTCATGCTGCTTCAGATGGTTTTCCACCCACCAGGACCTAAATTAACCTCATCTTAACTGTGTGTAAGGAAAGAAGGATCAGACCTGAAGCGCTAAGACCACAGACAGGGAACTGAAGCAGAGCACCCCGCAGCCTCCGAAATCCCAGCCTCCTCCCATTCCAAACGCCTTGGGGGGAAGGCCTCTGGAGCTCTAAGAATGTGGGAGGGATCGGGGGTAACTGGCAAAGTCCGATTCTTTGCCACCGGGACAGGTGGCAAGGCGGTCCTCGAGAGGGAAACCCGTAGAGGGATGGCGTCCAGGAATCGGATCCACGAAGCCGGACCAGAAAAGCGGGCCGGGCCATGTGGCCGCCTCCAAAGGACTCCCACAAGGACACCAGGGAAGTGACATTCCGCCGCCGCAGCCCGCTCTCCCGGCCCGCCCGGAGCCCCCAGCCACCAGTTGCAGACCCCTGGGGGAGCCGGACCAGAGCCAACTTCAGCCAATACCCACACGGACAGCGGAGGTGGCCAATCAAGTCCGGCGCGCAGCCCTCTCCCCGCCCCTCGTGGTACCCGCAGCCAATCGGACTGCAGGGTGCTCCGAAAGCGGGTGCACCACTGCCCCCCAGCGAACGCTGCGGCTGGCCCGCGGCCCGCTCCCCCTCACCTCCC